CGGTTGTGAAAGCAATGAGTCCTAGCCACCGGACCGCCAGGAAATTTCCGAGACTTTCTTTCAGACATGGCCAAAGGAGAAAATGCTGAAAACTACAGTATTGTGAAGAGGCAGGGTAAATGTATAACTGATGTGATTTCCCCAAATAGAAAAAGATTCACTTGCACTCTGATGGGAAACCACATGGGGAATGTAGAAGATGACTAAAGGTAAGGTGGCTAGTGTTTTAGTTAATTCATTTTACAATTTAGACATTACAGTCTAGGGCTCACACATCTGGAATGGTCTCATTCGTTACGGAGCTTACACAATGCTTCCATTTCTTGTGCATGAGCAGTCTCTAAGCACAGTGGCTGAGAGCAGTCTCTCTTGCCATCTTTTATAAGCAGGGACTGAACACACCAAAGCCAAAAAAGTGCTCACGTAAAGTCACCCTGTTTTTAAAAATCCCTTCCAAATACTGAGCATGAATTGAATTTATGATTACAGCCAAGAGTTAAGAGGTTACAATACCCCAACTTCTAAATGGATGTAGTAGGCTTAAACATGTCAAGTCCAAAGGTTTGGGGACTAAGACTGGGGCCAAACTTCCCTGGAGCCCTTATGTGTCCCATTCTTCATTTACCTGCTTTGCTTCATTCTTTGCACCCCCAGATATAATCATCTCCCAAAGCTCTCCTTAGGGTCATCCCTCCCTCCCCACTACTGTCACCTGTACCCCGCCAGTCCTAGAATGGTCCAGGTGTGGATGGTCTGCTAGTTCAGTCCCTCTATCTCACCATTTTACACTCCTCCCAACCACAACCCACACAGAGAAGCAAAGCAACTTCTCTTCCCAAGTTAATTCTTTTCCATGGAGGTTATCATTTTTTTCTATGTACTCAAGTGCAAACTCCAACCTTTTAAAGATATAATTGTAATAGGCCTCTCATGTGTCTATCTTATACTCATGCAAGTCAGGATCCTCATCACTTTATTCTGTTGAATTGCAACACTTTTTGTTGAATAAAACTGATTTTCACCCATACAGTCACTCTCCATTCTATTTTCTCCTATAAAATACTGCTGGTTGAAATTCCTACAGCACCTACATTTCATTTCTCTACTCAGTCTGGATTAGCCACTTATTGCCTACAGGATAAAAGTCTATAAGGGAAGAGAAACACTCCTACTTTATCCCATTCTCAGCCTCTTTCCCAGTTCCTCACAATTCTTCTCTCTGGCAGGAAGATCTCAAACAGAATCCTGCCCTGGCTGTCCATCTGAGCTCATGCTGCTGTCACCATTCCCACTCCAAACTTTATCCTTTTATTTCCAAAAGTGAAGTTGCTCAGTCATGTCGGACTCTTTGAGATCCCGTGGACTGTAGCCTACCAGGCTCCTCCATCCATGGGATTTTCCAGGCAAGAATGCTGGAGTGGGTTGCCATTTCCTTCTCCAGGAGATCTTCCCGACCCAGGAGCTGAATCCAGGTCTCCTGCATTGTAGGCAGACGCTTTACCATCTGAGCCACCAGGGAAGTCCATTTATTTCCAAACTGATCCTAAATTTGGGTGAAAAGTCTCGCCTGCATGTGGACTGCCCATTCTCAGTCATCCAGCTAGACTGATGTCCTCCTGACTATCTCAGCCCACCACCACCCAGCTCTCTATCATCTTTTCCTGCAGCACTTCATTTCACATTACACTGCAATTTCCTAGAAGGCAGAAATTCTAACAGATTCTTTTTGCAAATCCTTTGAATGTGGACAGTACAGTTTAAGTGACAACACACTTTCAAAATGAAGAAATGCTACTGATACACCTGGTACGGAACCAGCACAGACAAACAATTAGTGTATGAATCCATTAGTCACTTACACTCCAGTGATTTGAGAGAGGTTTTCCTGGACTGCAGTCCCTCCGACTTGGTCATGGTGGGTTTGCTTCAGAACCTGACACCAGTGCTTTCACAGCTATTCTGTCGTTTCCACTGGTAAACCACAGGGACACACTCATATTCACCACGAACTTGTAATAACTTGCACTAATTTCTGGTGGGCCACACCGTAACTTGTGGAGGGACAGAGCTCTCAGGTGGCACCCTGATTATCCTTCCAGCCTCATGATAAGACCTTCCTTTGGAAGATGTCAAAAGACCCTGTGGACTCACTTCTTCAAGGAGGCATTCAACCTCATCCATGTCACCCTCCTCTTCCAACTCAGAGTCTTCTGAATCCTCAGGAAGCACAATGGTCAAAGCAGCTCTTTTCTTCAGCAAATAAGCTATCATAATATTTGAGAAGCTGCTCAGCTCTTTCAGCTTCCTGCCTTTCACAGTCTTTTTAATCTTCGCACACCTTTTCAAGTTCTCATTTTACACCTCCCCAGTTTCATTTTTCATGATCATTTCCTCTTTATCTGCACTTAATTTCTTATTGGCTGTTTCCAAGACCCCTTGGTTTTGCTGTCTGATGCTGTCTCTTCATACCTGGAGGGGATCTGCTGGGGGAATTTCTCTACCTGGGCTTCAGAGCAACTCACATTGCACTGGAAGCCCTCGTCCACTGTGTGGACCTGGGCCAACCAGGCAGGGGAGGGAACGTGCCCCCGGCAGCCATTGTTCTCCACCTCATAGACTTCATCCTGGTTCCTGCTCCCCACTGACATCTGCTCTGCTCCCTTCCTACCACTTCCTGGTGAAGACCCAGGGGAATTCCCAGACTGTACCTCAGTCCACCAAGTCAAGTCGCACTGGATGCCCTCATCTACTTTGCTGACCTGAGCCAAGCAGGGAGGGGATGGGACAGCCACCTCAGGGCAGCTGTTGCTCTCTACCTCTTCACCCACAGCCTCAGGGGAGCCATGGCTCCCGCTACTGTTCTCTGGCATACTTTCCCCTATAGTAAAGGGCTTCTGAGATGATTCTGAGTGTAGGCTCAGGTCTTTAACTGCTTCCATACTGGCAAAGAGTGGAGCATGAAGCTTCCTGATGAAGCTTGTTCCCATCTCTAGCAGACTAGTACAATTGTGAATTCCGGGTATTCTGGATCTCATCTCTGTCATTTGGAGGTAGTGGGTTTGGGGAAAGAGTTGCATATCTCTTATTTTCCTGACCCAAGTTCATCTCTATGATAAATCCTGACTTTAACATCTCATCATGTCTTACAAAATCAAGATACTGCTCCGACTGGACATCTCTGTGTTCATCTTTATATGCAATGTGGTCTTCACCCTCATGAGGTTATAAAGCACACCTCTACTTTTACAGGAACTCTGTGAAATGCCATTGTGCTGCAGTACATTCTCTGGCATAGTTTTACCATAAGCCACATCATACAAACCCAGTTTGTTTCAGTGATTTCCAGAATTTTATTATAGAGGATCCTTTGCCCTGTTCTAGCCTTCTTGGCTCTTTCTTCGAGACAGAGCTTCCTTGAAGTGCGTTTCTATACAGTGTAATTAGAAGGGCTCTTGCCATTTAGCTCCCTCTTCTGGGCAACAAAAATCAAAGCCCCATATGTTTCTTGATGAATGTTGTCAGTTTCAATGTCAACATTAGGGATACTGGTCACCCTTCCTACGTCATGGGTGTTGCCTTCTGAATGCACACCTTGTTTTTCATTCATGTTTTCAGCCTGTTGAGGTTCATTGTATGTGTGTTTCATTTTCATTTCTTTCCCATAGCCAGCATATTGTTGGAACTGTGCCACATTATAAGACATAGGGACTATGGATTTTCAATTAAGGATAGTGAGCAATGAGGACTGAGCAACAAGGAAGGCAGGATACTCACTGAGTACCATAGACATGGAAAATACAGACTTTCATTTCTGAAACCTAGAAAGAGAGGGGGATAGTCATTTTGTCTCCTGAAGCCAGTCACAACATTCAGCCAGTGCATACCTGTACATCCATACCAATTGTCAAAATACTGAGTTTACTCTATGCCAGTTGGTTAACAGCCCCTAGTTCCTCCCTGGACATCTGCAGAAGTCAACCAATGAAGGAGGAATGACTATATCAGTGGGGCCTCCAGAACCCTTCTTCACAATAGAACAGCTCTAGAGTAGGCATCTATTCCACCTGGTTGATTCCCAGGTCATCAGTTGGTCAGCATATTAAGAACAGGACTCCCAACTTTGTAGCCTTTTAAAAAAAGAGACCAAGCGCATACCAGGTATAACTCAGGCTTGTCATGGTTACAAGAAGAGTAACACCAGACCTTACAGAGCAAAAGGGAACAAAAGTTCTTTGGATTTAAAATCCTTCCTAAGCCTATGTATTCAGCACTATTCATAGGGATAACCACTGCAATGGTGTCAATAACACCAAACACGTTTCTCTCATACATTTTGGGGAAAGGCATCTGACATTGCCAGATTTGTACAACTGACAAGTGAAGCCAAGATGAAACTTCTAACTATATATAAAAGAAGTGGTAGTTACATTCAAATCAGTGTTGTGCAGCTGATCTCATTAACTCAGTTTCACCGTCGAGGAATGCCGTGTGCCTCTCATACCTGACCTAATATTTTGTATAAGCATATGCATATGGGTATTTTCCTTTACTGAAGGAAAAGGAAGTCTCAGCTTGGATTTCAACACTGTCTTTTTTTTTTTTTAAACTAAAGAACATTTATTTGTTTTTCACCAAGACTTTATCTTGAGGATGTAACTAAACTGCGCCTCCACTCCCCACCCCAATTTGAAGGAGGATTAGTACAGTGGCTGTTATAAAGCATGTATGAACAGTTTGAGGGACTGGAACCAATGTTAACTGACAAAAACCAACTTCCATCTAAATCATCACAAAATGTTTAAGTAAAAAAAAGGGGGGGAGGGGGGCAAAGGGGTTTTCAGATTGGACAAGATCATCATATTTTATCTAATACATTCAATTCCGGCTAGGGTATACCAACATGGAAACAGGATAACTATAATACAAAACTTCCACTACAGCACACTGCACACATCTGTGTTCCAAGCGCACGCCCGTTCCCCTAATGCTTCCAAACTCAACTATTTCCCAGCCTGTTGGGCCTGTTGACGAAGGAGCATGTAGATCTTCTCTTTAATCCAATCTTTGTTATAAGGCTGGTATGTCTGGGTATCAGCTCGGTAAACAAGGCAGCTGAGGTCTGCCAGGTCATCAATAAAAATCAAACAACTGACTGATATCATATGTGATAGAGGGGCTGTTGGGATTCATTCTCTTCAGATGTTCTTCATACATTTTACAAACACCTTCCATACACTCATTCACAGATTCATAGTCAGCGTAAGTTCTGCCTTCTGGCCTCTTGGTAGGCTGTACCAGAAAGATGGTGTGAGACATTGCGCCAAAGTCTCCCGCTGCAGCCGATGCCGACTCCGCCGCCGCACACGAGCTTACCTGCAACGCCGCCAAACAGCCAATCCCCTCAACACTGTCTTAAGAAGTTTGTTGTCCTTGTTTACCTGCCAAGTCAGGTCCAACTCTTTTGTGACCCTATGGACTACGGGCTGCCAGGCTCCTCTGTCCATGGGATTTCCCAGGCAAGAATACTACAGCGGGTTGCCATTTGCTCCTCCAGGGTATCTTCCAGACCCAGGGATCAAACCTGTGTCTCCTACTTGGCAGGAGGATTCTTTACCACTGAGCCACCTGGGAAGCCCTCTTAAGAGGTTAGAAGCTACAAAAGGTAGTTCATGTAACTATAGAGACAGATAACTTCAAAGCCAGTCCGTGGAGGGTCAGATCTGGAACTCTTGTTGAAACTATTGGAAGAGTATTCTCCTGGATGACTAGCCACAGAATCATTACAGGCCTGGAAATGTTGTGAGCATCTTTGCCACTCTGAAATAGTGGTTGACAGTGAGGCCAACACAGAGAAAGCCAAAACCTAGAATGAGAGGGAAATAGACTAAAAAATGGATTATGTCTTTGGAGTCTCCATCTAGCTAGCCAGAAGTTGACTAGATGGCTTCACTCTTGGAATTTTATACATTTCTTTTTTCACTAAAGTCTGAATTATGTTGGAATAAAAAAAAAATTTAAAAAAAAATTACAAATTTTATTCCTACTCCCAGAACTCACCACTTTAATTCTCCTAAACCACAACTCTAAAGGATAAATAATTTAAACCTGAGGGGGAATGGTGTGGGAAAACCACAGAGGCATCTCAACCTGTTAATTCAAAGAATATTTAAGATACACTATGAATTGTTTTCTGTTAGAATCCCCTACCCTCTGTACTCAACACTTTTCCCCTCACAATTCTTGTCTCTGCAGCATTTCAAAATAGCATTTCAACATCTGTACCAATTAGGGAATCTCCAGAGAAACAGACCCAACGGTTTATATATAATAAGCTTTCTTGAAGGAAGTGGCTCTTGGTGGAGGTGCTAGTCCAACATCTGCCAGGTAGAGACACAGTGAGGAATTGCAGGTCACAGGCCACAAGCTGGCTCAAGGTTCTCTTGCTCAGACTGTGACTACTATTCACCTGGGAACAGTGACTGATGAATTCAAAAGCTCTCCTCATCACACCTGGTTTTCTACTTGCAAAAGGTACACTATATACATGCTTTATCTACAGCAAGATCCTTGGGAGAATCACCCCATGGATCCTCCTGCCTGCCCACAGCCCTTTCCCCCATGCACTGAATGAAATCCTAGATGTCTGACTTGCAGACATTTTCAAGTCTTGTTTGTCCTTCTTCCTCCAAACTACTTTTCTGACATCACTATAACAGCTTTTAGAACCTTTAGGCCTTGTCAAAAATATTACAGGGGACTAGAAACTCTAGGGTACCCCTTTCAGCCAGACTAGTCTCACAACGTAAGAAGACTTTGATTGGATTATGCTGTGAGCCTGGGCCCGACACGGACTAGGAGCCTTGGCTCCCTAGTTTGGGAAACAAGGATAGTAACAATACGGAGCTCATGGGTTGTTGAGGTCAAATGAGAGAAGCTGCTTTCAGTATTTAGCAGTGTAACTGGCATATAGCGAGAATTAGAACGTTTCCTATTAACCTGAACCACAAACACTGCCCCATGGGCTGCCACAATCTCCTAGTGTGAACACAGGGTGAAGGGAAGTTATGGGCAAGAGTGTTAGAAAATCTTCAGGCTTTGGTTTACAGGCAGGGCCCGTAATCCCACTGAACCTCCTTGGGGATTCAGATTCCTCACCTGCCCCAAAAATGGAGAGGGGATTACAGGCAGGATTCTGGTACCAGGGACCCAGGCGAGGCTGCTGGGCCATGGGCAGCACATAGAAGAAAGATCTGGAGTTACTGCCCTCAATATTTTCGTTGTTTCCTGGCGAGATTATTTTCGCTGAAAAAAAAGAGCGTGCTCGTAGTTAGAAAGGGACAGCCGCACCCCACCCTGTAAAGTGTTGTTAAGTGAGAGAGTCATCTTCGTCCCCGTCAGGACTGGAAGCCTGGGTGGCAGGTCCCTTACCATGTCTTCCAGCTGGCCTGGATGCGTTGCCCTGCATGCATTACGACCAGGGGAGCAGTGCCCAGAGGCCCGGGCTCACGTCGTGCTGAGCGAGTCCGGCTCCCCAGGCAGCCCCATCTTGGGAAGATGAGGCCTTGGAGGCGTGGGGGCACTCAGCGTGGGGTGCCAAAGCCAGGAGCTGCGCCCAGCGCCTGCAGTGGAAGAGGGGGCTTTAGGCCCAGCTGCACTGCCCTTGTCCGCAGCCTCTCCAGCACGCCCCTCAGCTTCCGCCACAGTCTGAACACCTCCCCAGTCCCGGAGTCCTGGCCTCGGCTCCACATCTCCTAACACCTTCCTCCCTGTAGGAGAAGGCCAATCTGTCTCTAAAACCCCCAAACCCTGCGCCCCCGAACCCTGTATGAACACGTGTTCCCATTAGCGACACCAACCTGCTCTAGCTTGAATCTGCGACTGCAAGCCTCTAGCAATTGGAAGCCGTGGAGCACACAACCCGGGCTAGTGAAACCTCACTGCCGGTGATCACGGCCCCAGCCTTTATTCGCGTGTCCGCTCCTGCACGTGCAGCCTTCCCCGCAGGCCCCGCCCCCTGCGCTTGCGCCCTGTCGGAGCTCCCAGGCCAGACTGCCCAGACAGAAGGCGCTGGAGGAAGCCGGTGCTGAGACTTGATGGAGCAAAGTGGTCCTCTCCACCCACTCCCGGGTGAACCCTAGTCCTCCCTTCTGCACATCCCTGTGAGCATGGGGGCCCTGACCTTGCCTCTCCTAGAGGACAGAGCCCTTCTGCACCCCCGACTGTCCCCTCCTCAGAGTGTGTTGAGTTAGGACGGGTCACAGCCACTTCTCTGAGCTCCTGGCCTCCTTCCTTCCTTGAGCACAAAGCCACTGACACTTAAGGAAGAGGAGCCTACCGAAAAGAGACGAAGGAGGCCAACCTGGAAGATTTCTACAGGTGGGGTGAGCAAGCGTGCTTGAGCAGCATCTCGGGGGAAGGGGCTTTGGTGATGAGGATGCTAATGGTCGGGGGCAGTGGTGATACAGGGAGGTGTGGGCGTCGTCTCTGGGGTGTTGGGTGGGCAGTGAGAAGGGGAAGCTCGTGAGTAGAGTACTCTGTGTGTGAGTGGAAGATAAGCTATAGGACAGTAATGGAGGGGAGTCATGGGGTTGTAAGGAGGATCTGCGGAGTTTTCGGATTTTTTTTTTTTGAAAGAGAAGAATTGAGGTATTTATCTCGGGCATGGACAGACAGGGAGATGTTACTGACAGTGGAGAGAGAGGGATGTTAAGATGATGTTCTGAGAATGGGAGAGTAGTCCAGCCTGGTTTCAGCGCTTGGGCCTTGGACAGGAGAAAGTCTTTGAGGTTGGAGAGAAATGAAATCCTGAAAGCAGGAATTTAATTCCACTACCTTGTTATTATTATATTTTCACTTAAGAGGGGTAGGAATAGTACTAACAATGCCTGCCATATTGCCCCATGGAATGGAAGGAGCAGTAATTTATAGACAGAAAAGAGCTGCTGGTAGAACTAGGGGCTGACCTGGGGATGGGATTCAGAAATTTGTATTGGCCCTCATCTGCAGTGGTATGTCACTTGCCTCATCATTTTCAGTCACGTGGGAGAGACAGGTGGTTGGGTGGATCAAGGATTGTGGTTTTATAGGAAGAGAAATCAAGGGCTCAAGAAAGTTCAGTATAATGGTGAGACGTTAAAGTAATACATCATAACACACACGCATACCCTGCACTTGTGTGACCCTGGGTGTGAGCACCTCCATAAACTGTGCTCCCTAGGTGCCTTACCTCACCATACTTAGTGACTTAGCATGTAGTCAGGGAGAGAAAGTAATGGCAGAGAGGAGCTGATCAAGCTAAGAAAAAGTAATGGAAGTCTTACCCATAAGAATGAAAGAGCTAGAGGAGGGCATTTGTGGTATGAGAATGGATATCTGAGGTTTAGGATTTCAGAGTGGGAGTAGCTGTAAGTTATAACAAGGCCCACAGGGTGGCCATTGGTTTGCTGCAGTCCGGTGAGCATGAAGGTCATTGGCTCTGAAAAAGGAAAAGGTCTTGGAATCTGGAGTTTTGTGAGTCACCCCCTTTGAACCCAAGTTTGTGTGCCTGAGGCACAGTGAGGCCAAACAAACTGAAACATTGGAGTTTGGAGCAAAGAAAGATTCACTTGCTGAAGACACACCAACCCAAAAGATGGATTAATAGATTGATAGATTCATCTCAGATCCATCCTGGGGGCTGGTGGGCTGGGGTGCAAGGTTTTTAAAGGCAACAGAGGTACGGGTTCTTTGTGATTTTCTGATAAGACCTCAATTGCAGTCTTCTGGCTTCCTGTGACTGGATGTTTCATTGGTGACTGTGATTGATCTGTGTGTTCCTGCAAAGCAAACTAGTAAGTGATGGTCTGCTGCTGCTGTTAAGTCACTAAGTTGTGTCTATTCAGTCGCGACCCCATAGATGGCAGCCCACTAGGCTCTGCCATCCCTGGGATTCTCCAGGCAAGAACACTGGAGTGGGTTGCCATTTCCTTCTCCAATTGATGGTCTAATGATCCCTTAACTTCTTTCTAGGACAGAGCAAAAGCAGTTGTTGAAGCATTTTATTCTGTATTTAGAGCCTTCATGATGGTTTAGGAGCCTCAATTCTTTTTTTTTAATCTTTAAAAATATCTTTATTTTCATTTATTTTTATTAGTTGGAGGTTAATTACTTTACAATATTGTAGTGGTTTTGGGGGAGCCTCAATTCTTAATTGACCCTCCAGGTGTCATCAATTTTAAGTCTGTTGGAGCCAGCTGGTTGAAGCCAAAAAGGACATTATCTCAGATGTTTGGGGTCATAAATCAAGGGATTAGTTTAAACTAACAATCATGGAAAAG